GCTAGAAAAGGTGCAAGTGTGTGGTTCATTAGGCTGCAAGAAATCATGGAGGAGCACACTGAAGCGCACGCTTACAAACCACTGGTAAGTGCTGACTACAAGTCATGACTTCAAATTGTTATATAGAATGATTACAAATTATTTGTTGTTTGTGCAGCTTAGTCAAGAGTCCCTAATTGATGAAGTCGACTCAGATTCTGACGATTTAACTGTCAAGAAGAAACCTGTAAAAAAGTATGGAAAAAGAAAAATCAAAAACACTTTTCTTCAAGACTCGGAAAGTGACGAACCAAAGGCAAATAAGATTGTTATCATGCAGCTGCAAAAGAAGAAAAATGAGCAAGAGACACTTCTGCCTCTACTGTTCAATGTCCTGCCACAAAATGTCCCGTCATTTGACTAGAAAACATGGAAATGAAAGTGACGTAGCCAGAGCATTGGCTCTACCTGTGAAATCTAAAGCACGTAAACTTCAGTTTGATTTGATCAGGAATAGTGGAAACCGTGAGCACAATTTTGAGGTTTTAAAGGCCGGCATTGGAACTTTAGTCCCAGCTAAACAGCCAAATTCCCCAGTTAAATCCAGTGAGTTTTTGCACTGTATAGACTGTGGGGCATTGCTTAAGCGAAAGTGGCTGTGGAGGCATGTGGCCAGGTGCCGGCTTTCACAGAAAGATGCCCAGGCTAAACCAAACCAGGTAGAAGTAGGGTCCAGTCCCTCTGCTCCCTAGCCCAGCCTGTACCGGAGGGCATCAGCAAAAAGCTGTGGTCTTTAATTTGGGCAATGCATCAGGATGAGGTCACGGGTGTTGTCAAAGCAGAAAAGGGGATTCTGAGACTCGGAGAGCACCTGTACTTAAAACACGGGCATGATAAGACTAAGCATGATTACATTAGGCAGAAAATGAGAGAAGTCGGTAGGTTAATTAACGAAGCAAAAACCGCAGGGAAACTGAAAACAATGAAGGATTTCTTTATTCCTTCCAACTTTAACCATGTGATTGATGCAGTCAGGTCTGTGGCTGGATATGATGAGGAAACAAATCAATACAAGACTCCATCCTTGGCCCTCAAACTCGGCCATAGCCTCAGAAAGCTAGCAGATATTCTTGAATGTGACTCAAAAATGGAGCATTGTGTTGATGAACTATTTATTAAAAACCTCCAACGAAGCCGGCTGCTTTTTGAGAAGAGGTGGGACGTCTGTGTTTCTTCTGCTGCCCTACAGACCCTCCGGCAAGCCAAGTGGAACACTCCGGACCTGCTCCCTCTGACTGAGGACGTTAGAGCCATGCATGCACATATTGAGGTATGTCGACCTGAATATGTGCAAACCCTAATAAGTGAGCCAACGTCTAAGCATTGGTCTAAACTGGCAGTTTTGACTCTTTGTGAGGTCATCATTTTCAATCGAAGAAGGGAAGGTGAGGTTTCAAAGATGCCACTGACAGCCTTTACCTTAAGAAGTAAGACTGGGATCCATTCTGACATTGCTCTGGGACTGTCCCAACTTGAGAAAAAGCTGTGTCAGCATTTTCAACGCATTGAAATTAAAGGGAAAAGAAGTCGGAAAGTGCCGGTTCTTTTGACTCCTGAAATGATTGCTTCGATGGAGGTGCTGGTGGAGAACAGAAGGGCCTGTTCCATCTCTGACCATAACCCATACTTCTTTTCCCGCCCGGGCGCAGACACCCACATCAGGGGATCAGACTCCCTACGCCAGGTAGCCAAAGAATGTGGTGCGGTGCATCCAGAGATGCTATCCTCAACCAAACTTAGAAAGCACATAGCTACTATGTCTACAGTTCTCAATATGAAAGAGAATGAGATGGACATACTTGCCAACTTCCTCGGCCATGACATTCGCATCCACAGGCAATATTACAGACTACCAGAGGGGACACTGGAGCTGGCCAAAATCAGCAAAGTGTTGATGGCCATGGAGCAGGGAAGAGTGACGGAATTCGAAGGAAAGAGCCTCGACCAGATACAAATTGAGCCTGAAGGTAATTCTTGATATTATTAAAATATGTATGATTTTTTTCCCCTAAAGGCCACTTGTATTTTTATTTTCTGTGCGACAGGGAGAGCAGTAGAGATCCTCTCACAAACGGACGGGCTAAAAGAAACTTCAAGCGGAGAACCTTCAACCATTCATCCAGATGCACCCCATGGTAGTGGCAGTGCCCCTTCTGGTAAGTGTACCAGGTGGGGGATTACAGCCAGGCTGCTTGGTCCTAACCCTGGGAGTGTATATTGCTAATATATTTTTATTTCTCTCCCTAGAACGTTAGAGAAAGCCATGGTCTGCATCTGAGGTGAAGGCTGTGGAGAAGACCATGACACCTTTCATACAGACTGGAAAGGTCCCTGGGAAGTCTCACTGCCTGGCCTGGCCTGGCCTGGCCTGGCCTGCATTAATGCCTCACCAGATGACCTTAGACATCGGACATGGAGTGGCATTAAATTCTATGTCAAAAATAGAATCACTGCAATTCAAAAACAAAATCTAAAATAAAATTCCTTTAAAATAGTTGTTTGGTTTCTATTGACTGTTTTGTATTACTTAAAGTCTTGGTAAAAAAAGATTATGTCTATGGGTCCCATTCTGAACGGCCCTGTCAAAGGGACCCACCAGGTAACAAAAACGTGTGTGTGTGTGTGTGTGTGTGTGTGTGTGTGTGTGTGTGTGTGTGTGTGTGTGTGTGTGTGTGTGTGTGTGTGTGTGTGTGTGTGTGTGTGTGTGTGTGTGTGTGTGTGTGTGTGTGTGTGTGTGTGTGTGTGTGTGTGTGTGTGTGTGTGTGTGTGTGTGTGTGTGTGTGTGTGTGTGTGTGTGTGTGTGTGTGTGTGTACCTGTGGTCACAGCTGTGTGTGTGTACCTGTGGTCACAGCTGTGTGTGTGTACCTGTGGTCACAGCTGTGTGTGTGTACCTGTGTGCAGCGTTATGCTCGGGCTGATAAAAGAGGGAAGCTCCCTCGCTGGATCCAGGAGCACATCAGTGACGGGAGCCTCAACCTCACGGTGGACGAGAGCGTGCAGCTCGCTAAACACTTCCTCAGGCAGATGGCCCAGCCCTTCAGACAGGTGAGGGGGGAGAGGGGGGAGAGAGGCCCTTCAGACAGGTGAGGGGGGAGAGGGGGGTGAGGCCCTTCAGACAGGTGAGGGGGGGGAGGCCCTTCAGACAGGTGAGGGGGGAGAGGGGGGGGAGGCCCTTCAGACAGGTGAGGGGGGAGAGGGGGGTGAGGCCCTTCAGACAGGTGAGAGGGGGGTGAGGCCCTTCAGACAGGTGAGGGGGGAGAGGGGGGTGAGGCCCTTCAGACAGGTGAGGGGGGAGAGGGGGGAGACAGGCCCTTCAGACAGGTGAGGGGGGAGAGGGGGGTGAGGCCCTTCAGACAGGTGAGGGGGGGAGAGGGGGGGGAGGCCCTTCAGACAGGTGAGGGGGGAGAGGGGGGGGAGGCCCTTCAGACAGGTGAGGGGGGAGAGGGGGGTGAGGCCCTTCAGACAGGTGAGAGGGGGGTGAGGCCCTTCAGACAGGTGAGGGGGGAGAGGGGGGTGAGGCCCTTCAGACAGGTGAGGGGGGAGATGGGGGAGAGAGGCCCTTCAGACAGGTGAGGGGGGGTGAGGGGGGTGAGGCCCTTCAGACAGGTGAGGGGGGGTGAGGGGGGAGAGAGGCCCTTCAGACAGGTGAGGGGGGAGATGGGGGAGAGAGGCCCTTCAGACAGGTGAGGGGGGGTGAGGGGGGTGAGGCCCTTCAGACAGGTGAGGGGGGAGATGGGGGAGAGAGGCCCTTCAGACAGGTGAGGGGGGGTGAGGGGGGTGAGGCCCTTCAGACAGGTGAGGGGGGAGAGGCCCTTCAGACAGGTGAGGGGGGAGAGGGGGGTGAGGCCCTTCAGACAGGTGAGGGGGGAGAGGGGGGTGAGGCCCTTCAGACAGGTGAGGGGGGAGATGGGGGAGAGAGGCCCTTCAGACAGGTGAGGGGGGAGCGGGGGGGGAGAGAGGCCCTTCAGACAGGTGAGGGGGGAGCGGGGGGGGAGAGAGGCCCTTCAGACAGGTGAGGGGGGAGAGGGGGGTGAGGCCTTTCAGACAGGTGAGGGGGGAGAGGGGGGTGAGGCCCTTCAGACAGGTGAGGGGGGAGATGGGGGAGAGAGGCCCTTCAGACAGGTGAGGGGGGAGCGGGGGGGGAGAGAGGCCCTTCAGACAGGTGAGGGGGGAGCGGGGGGGGAGAGAGGCCCTTCAGACAGGTGAGGGGGGAGAGGGGGGTGAGGCAGGCCCTTCAGACAGGTGAGGGGGGAGAGGGGGGTGAGGCCCTTCAGACAGGTGAGGGGGGAGAGGGGGGTGAGGCCCTTCAGACAGGTGAGGGGGGGAGAGGGGGGTGAGGCCCTTCAGACAGGTGAGGGGGGAGATGGGGGAGAGAGGCCCTTCAGACAGGTGAGGGGGGAGAGAGGCCCTTCAGACAGGTGAGGGGGGGTGAGGGGGGTGAGGCCCTTCAGACAGGTGAGGGGGGAGATGGGGGAGAGAGGCCCTTCAGACAGGTGAGGGGGGGTGAGGGGGGTGAGGCCCTTCAGACAGGTGAGGGGGGAGATGGGGGAGAGAGGCCCTTCAGACAGGTGAGGGGGGAGAGGGGGGTGAGGCCCTTCAGACAGGTGAGGGGGGAGAGGGGGGTGAGGCCCTTCAGACAGGTGAGGGGGGAGATGGGGGAGAGAGGCCCTTCAGACAGGTGAGGGGGGGTGAGGGGGGAGAGAGGCCCTTCAGACAGGTGAGGGGGGGTGAGGGGGGTGAGGCCCTTCAGACAGGTGAGGGGGGAGATGGGGGAGAGAGGCCCTTCAGACAGGTGAGGGGGGGTGAGGGGGGTGAGGCCCTTCAGACAGGGGAGGGGGGGGGGGGAGGGGAATGAGACTGGGACGTTTGTTTGTTAGCCTTCAATCAGTTTTATTTTCTAATCTGCCGTTGCCAAAGACCATGTGGGTCTGTGCAGGAGGACCAGCTGGGCCTGTCTCTGCTCACACTGGAGCAGCTGCAGTCAGAGGAGATGCTGAAGAAGATCGCTCAGATGGCCCACCAGAACTGACCCGAGGCCTGACCCGAGGCCTGACCCGAGGCCTGACCCGAGGCCTGACCCGAGGCCTGACCCGAGGCCTGACCCGAGGCCTGACCCGAGGCCGGACCCTCCCATTGAAATAAAACCTTTTGTAGCATTTGCACCTGTGGTTTATTCTGTTGCTGTGTAAAGTTCAGGGTTCATCACTAAAGCAGCTCAGTCCTGAGTCAGATCAAAGAAAACAAACGAGACAAAAAGTAAATATCACACTATAAAACACAGCAGTTAAACCAGGAATCACTCAAGTTAGTTAAAAAGTTTCAGTCTGCAACACATTCTTTAAAATACTTAGTTTCACTAAAGCTTATTTTGAAACAGTTTAAACGATCGTCACGGCAACAGTCATTAGTGCAATAACTTTCCCTTCACAAAGAGTAAAAAAGGTTTGAATATGACTCCTCTGGTCCCTCGTCCTGGAAACACTCAAACTACAATAAATACAAGTAAACAGGAGTTCCCTAAAGGTGGAAGCACAGCTGGTGCCTCTGCTGGTGCCTCTGCTGGTGCCTCTGCTGGTTTGGTTTCTCTAGAGTTCAAGTCAAAAATATGTGCCGTGTTGGCCCTGGTCCTGAAGTCTCAGCTGGTGCCGTGTTGGCCCTGGTCCTGAAGTCTCAGCTGGTGCCGTGTTGGCCCTGGTCCTGAAGTCTCAGCTGGTGCCGTGTCGACCCTGGTCCTGAAGTCTCAGCTGGTGCCGTGTCGACCCTGGTCCTGAAGTCTCAGCTGGTGCCGTGTTGGCCCTGGTCCTGAAGTCTCAGCTGGTGCCTCCGTACGAGCCGCGCCTGGTGCTGACAGAGGCCCCTGTCCCATGGTCTCTCTGAGGACACACATAGTTCAGCTGCTACAGGGACCTGCACATATGTCCTCAGTGGGACTTCAGACTCACCTGGTCCTGGTCCTGGTCCTGGTGCTGAACGTTGAGCACATTCAAAGACCTCGCCCTCTTCATCCTGTGAACAATGTTTCATTGTCTTTAATTTAAGCATGGAGTGATCAGATCGACACACACGACACACATGATACACACGATACGCACGATACACACGAGACGCACAATACGCACGATACACACACGAGATACGCACGATACACACGAGACGCACAATACGCACGATACACACACGAGACGCACAATACGCACGATACACACACGAGACGCACGACACGACACACACGACACACACGAGACACACGAGACACACGATACACACGACACACACAGACACACAGACACACAGACACACAGACACACAGACACACAGACACACAGACACACACACACACACACACACACACACACAGACACACAGACACACACGAGACCATTTTATAACATTCTCTTTTAAGGCTCCTAATGACTGGAACCATCTTCCCATAGCATTAAGGTCAATAACCAGTTACGGACTCTTTAGAACTTCTCTGCATACACATCTCAATACGGATTGTTTATGTTTGTAGGCTCTTTTGATATACTTTGTTTGTACAACAATACTTGATCTTTAGATGACTGGGAAGGGGAGAGGGTTGTGTGAGCAAGATTGTCTTGTGTTTAATGTTTGTGTTTATTTATTTATTTCTGTTTTTCTGTATTACATTTGTTATGTTTTGTGTTACATTGTATTTATTTGTTTTATGTTTGGTCCCCCTTGCAAACGAGATGTTTCATCTCAAGGGGTTTTCCAACAATAAATTGAAATTGAATAACATTTTGTTTATTACTGACTTTTATGTTAATGTGTTTTCATTATACAAATAAACATCACACCCCCTCCTGCGGTGTCAGAGTGGGACCTCACCCTGCGGTGTCAGAGTGGGACCTCACCCTGCGGTGTCAGAGTGGGACCTCACCCTGCGGTGTCAGAGTGGGACCTCACCCTGCGGTGTCAGAGTGGGACCTCACCCTGCGGTGTCAGAGTGGGACCTCACCCTGCGGTGTCAGAGTGGGACCTCACCCTGCGGTGTCAGAGTGGGACCTCACCCTGCGGTGTCAGAGTGGGACCTCACCCTGCGGTGTCAGAGTGGGACCTCACCCTGCGGTGTCAGAGTGGGACCTCACCCTGCGGTGTCAGTGTGGGACCTCACCCTGCGGTGTCAGAGTGGGACCTCACCCTGCGGTGTCAGAGTGGGACCTCACCCTGCTGTGTTAGTGTGGGACCTCACCCTGCGGTGTCAGAGTGGGACCTCACCCTGCGGTGTCAGAGTGGGACCTCACCCTGCGGTGTCAGAGTGGGACCTCACCCTGCGGTGTCAGAGTGGGACCTCACCCTGCGGTGTCAGAGTGGGACCTCACCCTGCGGTGTCAGAGTGGGACCTCACCCTGCGGTGTCAGAGTGGGACCTCACCCTGCGGTGTTAGTGTGGGACCTCACCCTGCGGTGTCAGAGTGGGACCTCACCCTGCGGTGTTAGTGTGGGACCTCACCCTGCGGTGTCAGAGTGGGCCCTCACCCTGCGGTGTTAGTGTGGGACCTCACCCTGCGGTGTCAGAGTGGGACCTCACAGTGTAGTGTTAGTGTGGGACCTCACCCTGCAGTGTCAGAGTGGGACCTCACCCTGCGGTGTCAGAGTGGGACCTCACCCTGCGGTGTCAGAGTGGGACCTCACCCTGCGGTGTCAGTGTGGGACCTCACCCTGCGGTGTCAGTGTGGGACCTCACCCTGCGGTGTCAGAGTGGGACCTCACCCTGCGGTGTCAGTGTGGGACCTCACCCTGCGGTGTCAGTGTGGGACCTCACCCTGCAGTGTCAGAGTGGGACCTCACAGTGTAGTGTTAGTGTGGGACCTCACCCTGCGGTGTCAGTGTGGGACCTCACAGTGTAGTGTTAGTGTGGGACCTCACCCTGCGGTGTCAGTGTGGGACCTCACAGTGTAGTGTTAGTGTGGGACCTCACCCTGCGCTCCTGGGATGGGGCTCCTCTGCGCCTCCTCTCAGTTTCCGCACCAGTTTCTCACTGCTGCGACGCAGCGACTCCCTCAGTTTGGTGAAGGAGCCGCTGCGCCTCAGCCCTGGAGCTGCACCGTCTGCGGCCCCCGACCAGCTGGGCCCCTCACCTGGGGACACACCGGGACTCATGGTTTACACCAGGGACAGAGCCTCAGACACAGGAACACACTGCACTGAACAGTCTCAGAGCTGCTCCTCTCACAGAGGGGTGCCCCAGGGTTCAGCCTCAGGTCCAGTTCTTTTTTACTTGTACTGCTGCCTCTTGGTGCCCTCAGCTCACTGCACCAGCCTCATCTGCTCTATGACCCTGTGCACATGCGTGTGTGTGCGTACGTACGTGTGTGCGTACGTACGTGCGTGTGTGCGTACGTACGTGCGTGTGTGCGTACGTACGTGTTTGTCAGATGAAATTTATGTGTAACTAATCTGTCGTGAGTTAGGTGGTGAGTTGATGGATTGATGTGGTCGTCTTCTGTTTCTTTGTATGACTCTCTGTGTGTGTCTCTGTGTGTGTGTGTGACTCTAAGTGTGTGTGTGACTGTGTCTCAGACCTTCCACACTGGAGCTGTGAGCGCGGCTCAGGATCTCTTTGTACAACGCCTCTGCCTGCTGGTACTTCCCCTGTTTGAGGAAACACGAGGCCTGCAACACACACACACACACACACACACACAAATTTGTGACTTATTATTTTCATCAATGATGTAAAAACACCCTGGGCCCCAGGCCTTGAGCCTCTCACCAGGTTGTTCTTGGTCTTGGCCACGTTGCTGTCATCTGGTCCTCTCTGCTGCTGGTAGATGGTCAGAGCTCGTTGATAGTACAGCTCCACCTCGCTGTACTTCCCCTGGTTCTGACACAGCAGCGCCAAGTTATTCAGCTGTTTAGCCACGTCCGGGTGCTGCTCTCCCAGAACCTGAACCCACAGACATCAGCTTTAAACCTCTATACAGACATATACAGACCTATGCATATAAGACCTGACCCTCTGTGACCATATAAGACCTGACCCTCTGTGACCATATAAGTACCTGACCCTCAGTGTGACCATATAAGGACCTGACCCTCAGTGTGACCATATAAGGACCTGACCCTCAGTGTGACCATATAAGGACCTGACCTCTGTGACCATATAAGGACCTGACCCTCTGTGACCATATAAGGACCTGACCTCTGTGACCATATAAGATCCTGACCCTCAGTGACCATATAAGGACCTGACCTCTGTGACCATATAAGGACCTGACCTCTGTGACCATATAAGGACCTAACCTCTGTGACCATATAAGGACCTGACCCTCTGTGACCATATAGGGACCTGACCTCTGTGACCATATAAGGACCTGACCTCTGTGACCATATAAGGACCTGACCTCTGTGACCATATAAGGACCTGGCCTCTGTGACCATATAAGGACCTGACCTCTGTGACCATATAAGAAACCTGACCTCTGTGACCATATAAGGACCTGACCTCTGTGACCATTTAAGGACCTCTGTGACCATATAAGGACCTGACCTCTGTGACCATAAAAGGACCTGACCCTCTGTGACCATATGAGGACCTGACCCTCTGTGACCATATAAGGACCTGACCTCTGTGACCATATAAGGACCTGACCTCTGTGACCATATGAGGAACCTGACCTCTGTGACCATATAAGACCCTGACCTCTGTGACCATATAAGGACCTGACCTCTGTGACCATATAAGGACCTGACCTCTGTGACCATATAAGGACCTGACCTCTGTGACCATAAAAGGACCTGACCTCTGTGACCATAAAAGGACCTGACCCTCTGTGACCATATAAGGACCTGACCCTCTGTGACCATATAAGGACCTGACCTCTGTGACCATATAAGGACCTGACCTCTGTGACCATATAAGGACCTGACCTCTGTGACCATATAAGGAACCTGACCTCTGTGACCATATAAGGACCTGACCTCTGTGACCATATAAGGACCTGACCCTCTGTGACCATATAAGGACCTGACCTCTGTGACCATATAAGGACCTGACCTCTGTGACCATATAAGGAACCTGACCTCTGTGACCATATAAGGACCTGACCCTCTGTGACCATATAAGGACCTGACCTCTGTGACCATATAAGGAACCTGACCTCTGTGACCATATAAGGAACCTGACCTCTGTGACCATATAAGGACCTGACCTCTGTGACCATTTAAGGACCTCTGTGACCATATAAGGACCTGACCTCTGTGACCATAAAAGGACCTGACCCTCTGTGACCATATGAGGACCTGACCCTCTGTGACCATATAAGGACCTGACCTCTGTGACCATATAAGGACCTGACCTCTGTGACCATATAAGGAACCTGACCTCTGTGACCATATAAGACCCTGACCTCTGTGACCATATAAGGACCTGACCTCTGTGACCATATAAGGACCTGACCTCTGTGACCATATAAGGACCTAACCTCTGTGACCATATAAGGACCTGACCCTCTGTGACCATATAGGGACCTGACCTCTGTGACCATATAAGGACCTGACCTCTGTGACCATATAAGGACCTGACCTCTGTGACCATATAAGGACCTGGCCTCTGTGACCATATAAGGACCTGACCTCTGTGACCATATAAGAAACCTGACCTCTGTGACCATATAAGGACCTGACCTCTGTGACCATTTAAGGACCTCTGTGACCATATAAGGACCTGACCTCTGTGACCATATAAGGAACCTGACCTCTGTGACCATATAAGGAACCTGACCTCTGTGACCATATAAGGACCTGACCTCTGTGACCATTTAAGGACCTCTGTGACCATATAAGGACCTGACCTCTGTGACCATAAAAGGACCTGACCCTCTGTGACCATATGAGGACCTGACCCTCTGTGACCATATAAGGACCTGACCTCTGTGACCATATAAGGACCTGACCTCTGTGACCATATAAGGAACCTGACCTCTGTGACCATATAAGACCCTGACCTCTGTGACCATATAAGGACCTGACCTCTGTGACCATATAAGGACCTGACCTCTGTGACCATATAAGGACCTAACCTCTGTGACCATATAAGGACCTGACCCTCTGTGACCATATAGGGACCTGACCTCTGTGACCATATAAGGACCTGACCTCTGTGACCATATAAGGACCTGACCTCTGTGACCATATAAGGACCTGGCCTCTGTGACCATATAAGGACCTGACCTCTGTGACCATATAAGAAACCTGACCTCTGTGACCATATAAGGACCTGACCTCTGTGACCATTTAAGGACCTCTGTGACCATATAAGGACCTGACCTCTGTGACCATAAAAGGACCTGACCCTCTGTGACCATATGAGGACCTGACCCTCTGTGACCATATAAGGACCTGACCTCTGTGACCATATAAGGACCTGACCTCTGTGACCATATGAGGAACCTGACCTCTGTGACCATATAAGACCCTGACCTCTGTGACCATATAAGGACCTGACCTCTGTGACCATATAAGGACCTGACCTCTGTGACCATATAAGGACCTGACCTCTGTGACCATAAAAGGACCTGACCTCTGTGACCATAAAAGGACCTGACCCTCTGTGACCATATAAGGACCTGACCCTCTGTGACCATATAAGGACCTGACCTCTGTGACCATATAAGGACCTGACCTCTGTGACCATATAAGGACCTGACCTCTGTGACCATATAAGGAACCTGACCTCTGTGACCATATAAGACCCTGACCTCTGTGACCATATAAGGACCTGACCTCTGTGACCATATAAGGACCTGACCCTCTGTGACCATATAAGGACCTGACCTCTGTGACCATATAAGGACCTGACCTCTGTGACCATATAAGGAACCTGACCTCTGTGACCATATAAGGACCTGACCCTCTGTGACCATATCAGGACCTGACCTCTGTGACCATATAAGGAACCTGACCTCTGTGACCATATAAGGAACCTGACCTCTGTGACCATATAAGGACCTGACCTCTGTGACCATTTAAGGACCTCTGTGACCATATAAGGACCTGACCTCTGTGACCATAAAAGGACCTGACCCTCTGTGACCATATGAGGACCTGACCCTCTGTGACCATATAAGGACCTGACCTCTGTGACCATATAAGGACCTGACTTCTGTGACCATATAAGGAACCTGACCTCTGTGACCATATAAGACCCTGACCTCTGTGACCATATAAGGACCTGACCTCTGTGACCATATAAGGACCTGACCTCTGTGACCATAAAAGGACCTGACCTCTGTGACCATAAAAGGACCTGACCCTCTGTGACCATATAAGGACCTGACCCTCTGTGACCATATAAGGACCTGACCTCTGTGACCATATAAGGACCTGACCTCTGTGACCATATAAGGACCTGACCTCTGTGACCATTATAAGGAACCTGACCTCTGTGACCATATAAGACCCTGACCTCTGTGACCATATAAGGACCTGACCTC